AAGAGCACTGGCTGTTCTTCCAGAGGTCCTGAGTTTAATTCCCAGCAACTACATGGTGGCTCACGGCCACTTATAATGAGATCTGGTGCCCTCTTCTGGCATGTAGGCATACATGCAGGCAGAACACTGTATACATAATAATTAAATCTTTTTTAAAAAAAGATCACACTGCCGGGTGGTGGTGCCGCATGCCTTTAATCCCAGCACTCAAGAGATGGTACATGCTTTCATCCCAGCACTCAAGAGGCAGAGCCTGGTGAATCTCTGAAAAAAAAAATCACACCACCCACACAAGATAATTGGCCTACCCATGTCTGTAATCCCAACTCTGAGTGGTACAGAGACAGGAGGATTGCTGAAACTGCCTGGATTCTAGTACACATGAAAAACATGGACTCCATGTTTGGGGAGAGATCTTATCTCAAAGGAATAAGTGGATAATGATAGATGAGGACTCAACATCCTCTTCTGGTGTCTTCATGAATGCATAGACTCATATACCTGCACACACACACACACACACACACACACACACACACACACAAATAAATAGATGAATATTTTTTTTTAATTTTTATGAAGTGGAATTAGTGTCAACAAATATTTAATTATATACTGTTTTGATATACAGTTATTCTCTGACATATCTATCAATTTCAGTTCCAATAAGATATGTACATCAGCACTGAGATACAGCTCCATACTGTTATCCTCAGTAGCCTGAAGAGTTCTCCTAAACTTTCAGAGACCTCATTCTAGACCAACCAGGATTCATGGATTTGATGTAGAAAAGAATTTCAAAACTAGCCAGTATGCTGAAGCAGAATTGGAGATTTTGTTAAAGATATTTTAATATGACATTAAGCACAAGGGTTAGGAGAAAGAGGTACCCATGAAAACAAAGGCACACCCAAGAGCATGAATGTGACCTTCCTTAAGAGAGTTACAGAGAGGAAAAGACAGCCATGTATGGATATGAACTCCTCAAGGGAGTCACAGAAAATAAGACATACACAGAGGATAGGTGTGGGCTCTTCAAGGAAGAGTCATAGAAAATAAAGCGTACCAAAGTTGTGGATATGGGCTCCACAAGGGAGACATACATATAGCATTAACCATATATACCATTGTGGTGGCTCTCAGTTACAGCTTAGAGAGGTTACTAGCTAAGAAACCTTTTTCCTCTCTCTTTCTCTTTTTTTAAAGAACTGAGGTTATATATGGTGGCTCTGGAGATGCCTTGGACTGAATTCTCATCTGATGGGTAAAACCAGAAGACACTTTGGTTTTGCAAGGGGCTTAATACATGCCTTTTCTCTGTAAATGGGCTTTCTAGTGAGATTCTAGAAAAATACAGGTTTACAGCTGGGAAGTGAGAAAGTCAAGCAGTTGTTAATTGTGCTAAAATACTTCCTTCATTTCTGGCAAGAAGCCTTTGATTTCTGGGTGAGAGGCCCTGCCTTTCTCATGTTCCCAAATTTTCCCTGTCTTTTTATTTTGCCTCATGTAGGCATTGTTTAGTATAGACATAAAAGCTCTTATATTATCTTTACTTGTAATCTAAATGTGTTTTAATCATAATTTTCATTTCTTCAATTTCTCATGTATTTGGATTTTTTTTTTGAGGCAGAATCTTGTTATGTAGCCCAGGCTGGACTGGAACTCGTGATCTTTCTGCATCAACCTCCTGAGTTCTGGGATTCCAGGTGTGTGCCAACATGCTCTGCTATGTACTTGCTCTTTAAAATCTTGTCAGCTATTGTCCCCATAGGACATTGTTACTATTGCTGCTGTTGTTGCTGCTGTTATTTTTGAGACAGGGTATCAGTGTGTAGGCTTGGCTAACCTAGAACTAACTCCCTAGTATGGGCTGGCCTCAAATCCTAGAAATCTTCCTGCTGCAGCCTCTTGAGTTCAGGGATTAAAGGTATGCACCACCACATCCGGCTTGTTTTCATGTTGTTGTTTTATTTTTTTACATTTATTTCTTTGCTTGTTTTTCACTCATTTATTTATGTCTCTTTGTGGGTATGTGTGTGAACTCATAGGAGTGAGATTGGAAAACAACTTATGAGAGTTGATTCTCTCCTTTCACAGTGTGAGTTCTGGAGATCAAACTCAGGGAGTCAGGCTTGGTGACAAACACCTTTACCCACTGATCATCTCACTGGCCCCATTGTTTTCATATTTTTTGAATCAAGTTTTTCAAGTGTGTGTGTGTGTGTGTGTAGAGTCAATTAGAGGATTGAACCCAGAGATTTTTGACTGCTTAATCCGCCCCTTTCAGTTTTGTTTGCACTCTCGTGCCTGTCACAGTGATCTCGGGCAGAAAACACAGCACTACACTGTCACCTGCAGCAGCCTAAGGAGCGCTTTTCAGAGACCTTCACTCAAGTGAAGACAAGGTTCTTGACTACAAAAAGAATTTCAGGCCGAGTCAATACGAAGCGGAATTGGAGTGTATTAGGAAGGAAGTTTAACATAGATGTGAACGTGGGTGTCAATAGAAAGAAAGGTGCTTGGGAAAAGGATACAATACAGTCAAGAGCATGAGTTTGGGCTTCTCAAGAAAGCCTTCCCCCTGAATGCCTTAGCAGTAGCTGAATAGAAGATTTTAGAGGCTTTTGAATTATATAGCTTGGGGTGTTTCAAAAGAAACGCCTCTACTCTGTCTCTTTTCTCCTTTTTGATAAGTGAAATAATGGAATGTGTCTGTAGGAGCCTTGGGTAAGATTGCAACCTGATAAGGCAAAACCAGGGGTTCTACAGGTTACACAAGGGTGTTAAGACATGCCTTTTATTGTAAATGGGGTTGTTATTGTGAGATCCCTTAACAGTTGAAGGCTTATAGCAGACATCCCTTAATTTTCCTGCCCTGCTATCCCACCTCATTACTACGTCACTTACTGCTTATTCCTAGGGGACTTAAAAGATCTGATTGACTTCCCTCCAGTATAGCTTTAAAACTGCTCTTAAAACATAAATGTAGGCATATCACTCCTTTATCTAAATTGCTCCAATGGCTCCTATTATTCTTGGGTTAAAGGTCTAAGCTAAAAACAGATCATATAATACACTACACGATTTTGCCTCACTCTCTACCCTTTAAGCAAGGGGGAACATATTTAGCCTTTGTTAAGTATTCATCATGTAGATCATGGCTTAAAAGTAACTTCCAGCCAGACATGGTGGCACACGACTTTAATCCCAGCACTCTGGAGGCAGAGACTGAGGCAGAGGCGGAGGCAGGTGGATCTTTGAGTTTGAGGCCAGCCTGGTCTACAGAGTGAGTTCCAGGTGAACCTGTGCTACACAGAGAAACCCTGTCTCCAACAACAACAACAACAACAACAACAACAACAACAACAACAACAACAAAGTAACTTCCTCTGGGAGAGTTGTCTTTGTATTGAGTTTATCGCTTATTTATTTATACTGTCATGTAGTATATTCCAGAAACATCTTCATTTTCAGAAATAGTCAAGAGCTATTGTTTATAGATATGCAGCAGAGTATATGTTTTTGCTCAATTCCTCATCCCTTTACAAACGGCTCAGTATAAAAAAAATTCTGTTCTGATTTTACTCTACTCCATGCCTCTTCTGTCCACTAGAACATACATAGTGTTTCCAAGGTAATGTTTTCTTCCATCTTGCCATTTGTATGCACAAGGACCTTCATTGACTCTGATTTAGAAGGTCTGATACAGGACTGAAACCTGACTATTTTTGTAAAAGCTCCCCTAGATAAGTCTGATTAATCATGGGATCAGAAGAATTGCTGACATACATAAAAAGTACACTTAAAATTAGGAATAAATAAATGGTTATGGAAACAGAGTTTAGAATCAAATGGATATGGATTCAATTAAATTTTGACTTTTACTATTGTGTGTGATCTTGGCAGCTTACTTAGCTTTTAAATGTGCATGCTTCCTCACTTACAAAATGGAAATAACATCTACTACATAACATTGTGGTAAGGAGAAAATTAGATAATTTATGTAAATTTTCACTTTCATGCACAGTGCCTTATGTATATACTAAGCATTCCATAAACGTTAGCATCATATTGTTGTTGTAAGTCATTCAGTTAGTCATTTAACATATATTTATTCACTATATGTCTAACATTGTTTTAGGAACTATAGAAGACGATATAAGTGATACACAATAGGATCCTTATTGCTGGGTCTCTTCAGAGTAGTTGGGGAGATGAACCCAAGGATGTAACTCAGTTGGCAGAGTGTTTGCCTAGCATCCACTAAGCTGTGGGTTGAATCCCCAGCACATCCTAAATTGGACATGGTGGCACATGTCCATCTTCCTGACCCTCAGGAGATGGAAGTAGGAAAATCAGGAGTTCAAGATTATTCTTGGCTGTATAGCAAGTTCAAGATTAGCCTGCAATACATGATACTCTATCTCAAATAAATAAATAAATAAATAAATAAATAAATAAATAAATAAATAAATAAATAGATGGGAAAGAAGGAAAGAACTCATTTGGGACATGAAATTATCACAGTATTATGCAGTCAGAGAATAATATAATGAAATATAAATGTTGTAAAAGATAAAATAATGAATAGTATTAATGGGAAGGCATTAATCCAGCATGTTGGTTTGTCAGTTAGCATGAAAAAAGAGATGTAGAAAAACAATCTTAAACTGCTCTTACCAAGCCAGCAGAGGTCTACTTTGATGCTGCCTGCCAGATGGAAAATGATGCAGAGGGGAAAAAATCCTGTATTTACTTCTCAAAATTAAGACAGAATGGAGGAGTGTGTTTGAGGGGTGAACATATGTGTATAAATATGGTACAACTCTTAATTGGTTCCTTACGATTAAAATTGAAACTGTTTCCGTTGGAAAGGCAGAGATATAGTATTTTCACTTCCAAGTGATTTATTTTTACCTCGTTAAATCAGAAATCAAACACTAGATGAAGGTTCCAAGCCTATTTTGATGTATATTGATGTTTTTTCTTTTTCTTTTCAGGGTCGCTATGGCAACTGCATCTTCTCAAGTTCTGATTCCAGACATCAATTTTAATGATGCCTTTGAAAACTTTGCTTTAGATTTTTCTAGAGAAAAGAAACTATTGGAGGGGCTAGACTATTTAACAGGTGTGAATGTACTGTGCTTTCCTTCCCATTTTTTCTTTCTGTTCCCTTTTAGTCTAAAGTAATCTGAAAAGGAAAAGATTTACGAAGAGAATTTTTTAAATAAGCTTTACATAACACATGTACCTTTTCAGAAAAGATCAGGTATGTTCAGGGTAGTATGGTTGTAGACCACATGTACCTTTTTAGAAACAATATATTTTAGTTCATGTTACATAAAAGAAAAGTGGACATCTTAGGGGCTATGACTCATTGGCAGGGATCTCAACCAGTATTTCATATAGTTCAGTCCTCAGTAGCAGCAAAAAATAAGTTTTATCAAAACAAATTTGTCAGATTTGTTTCTTATAAAGTATCATATCATTTCCCTAAGCTGTTAGGACTCAGAATTAGTTTTCCAGACAAATTTTTCACAACAAATAGGTGTCAGAAGCTACAATGGTTAAACTGATTGAAATAAAGACTAATAAATATCCATAAGCAATGCAAAGTAAAAGATGAAACCAGCTTATTAAGAATGCTTGGTACTTTCAGGATTACTCAATATTTGTTTCTTGAGAAAAATCTACATACACACAACCTTATTGTTTGAAGTGATATTGTTATTGTATCAATGCAGCTATTATTTGTTATCTCCTTCCTTCCAGACACTAAATATTAACTTTGTATCATTATTCTTCATAACAAATCTATACGGCAATGCCCATTTTACAGTGGGAAATTCTTATTAATTTGCATTTTAAATACTGTCAAATGTCTAGGAGAAGATTATTTTGAAATAAAAATAAGTTGAAGTGCATATAACAAGAAAACAGTATTGCTTTGCTATATACATATGTGTTTTGACAGGCATTCTAAAAAAGTGGAGAAGTCATTACAATTACTTAGTCTTATATATTTGCCACGAAAGTGGTTGGGGAGAGCTTGAGGTCTCAGCACATTATTTTAGTCTATATGGTTCTTGCCAAAGTTTGTCTATTAAGACAATTTCTCCAGAGCTGGGGATGTTACTCAGTGGTACTGTGCTTGTCTAGATGGGCTTGTCTAGCATGGGCTTAATCCTCACAGCTGAAAAAAAATAACACAAGAAACAAAAACTCCTACCTCTTCTGAAGAGACAAGGTACTTCCTTACCATTTTCTTTATGTTTTTTTTTTTCAGCCCCAAACCCACCATCTATCCGAGAAGAACTCTGTACTGCCTCCCATGACACCATTACAGTCCATTGGATCTCGGATGATGAGTTCAGCATCAGCTCCTATGAGCTTCAGTACACCATATTCACTGGCCAGGCTAACTTCATCAGTAAGTCATGGTGTAGTTGGGGCCTGTGGCCAGAGATAAGGAAATGTAAGGAAGCAGTAAGCTGCTCAAGATTGGCCGGTGCGCCACGAGGCAAGTGTTTGTAAGACATGTGAGGTTGTTTAGTATAGACTTTCATAGACAGTGTAAGCTCCCCAGGGGATTGTAAAACATTACTGATGGCTCATAAGCCAGTTGTGTGTTTTCTTGCTGGGTAGTCACTGGGATCAGCCATAATGGGTTATGTAATCCTTAGCCTTTTCTCAGTCCATACAACTCCACTGATCCAAGTGCTGCTTAATATTTGTTCCTGGGTAGCTAAGTCACCACTATTCCATGTGTGTGAACCTCCCATTTCATTGTCATGATAAAATTATGTTCAAAGACCATCGCTTCCTTTATTAAACCTATTTGTGTCTATGAACTTGTAGCTTAGTCTTCTGCCCCTGCCATTCTTCTCTTTACTATTTCTGCATTTCCACAAGTAATTCCAGTAAATATAGAAACATGACAGAGCCAGGTACAGTGACTCATGTTGATAACCCCAACATGAAGGAGGTTGAGGTAGTAGAATTGCAATTTCGAGGCCTGAGTCAAAAAAAAAAAAAAAAAAAAGCAATATCAGTAGATCCTAGCTACAGATGTTTAAAAGGCTGTTCTTCAGCCTCCATGTTAAGTTGGGTTCACTTTCTGTTGAACTGGAGAGAGACCAGGCACAGTAGGAACTTAACTGATTGACTGCACTCAGTAGGCATTGAACAGAAAGGTCCCCTCATTTCACGGGAGGGAGGGGTTTGGGGTAGAGAAAGCAAGGGAAACTGAAATGAGTCTTTTTCTGCCCCACAGGCCAGCTCCCAAATAATGACACAGAGACTTATTATTAATTATGAAAGTTCAGCCTTTAGCTTGAACCTGTTTTCAACTAGCTCTTATAACTTAAATTAACCTGTTTATGGTAATCTATGTTCTATCTCATGGCGTTATCTCTCTTCCATCTTGCACTTCCTGTTTCCTCTCCGTGTCTCCTGGCATCTCCTGCACCTCTATTATCTCTTCCTTCTTCCTCTCTCTGCCCAGAAGTCCCACCTATACCTCCTGCCTAGCTATTGGTTGTTCAGTTCTTAATTAAGCCAATCACAACAATATATCTTCACACACTGTACAAATATCCCACAATAGGAAACAAAGCAGAAAGAAAGCTGAATGCAAGCAGTTGCTTTTGCAAAGCTACAAATTCATATTTTCTTTTACTTTGTACTTTGCATTGATGTTTATCTTCACAGACCAACATGAACAGACTTTATTCAAATATGCCCTCCTTGTGGGCTTTCTTTTTCTATTTGGTGACAATTCATGGGCAGAATTCTGTTTTGTGACAGTAGTGGGGAGGAGAGATAAGCAGATATTTGGGAGTAAAACATTAAAAAACACTCGCCTCATGCAGCTCCAATCTAAGCCACTTGACTCATGTAATCATGTGTTCCTGGGCATCTCTTTAGATTATGAAGTCACAAGCTCAAAGGCCTTACTGTGAGTTTCCTCTTCCAGTTTCCTCTGTAAGTTCCGGAAGCCAGTGTCAAAGACAGGAACTGTCGTCTACCTTCCTGATAGGGGAAGAGCAATCCCCTCCCAGAAACTGAGAACAGGTCTGAGAATTGACAACCCTAAAAACTGTCACCTCTGGTTTCAAAGCAACAGAATCCTTTGTAAATGAAGGCCTAATGCTACTAATGATAAAGTTAATAGTATCTTAAAGGAATCCTAATCTTCTCTTCTACCAGAGAAGTAAACATCTCTGCTTGAACGTTGCTAGTGAGGGCATGTTCACTTTCATGAAAACATCCATTTGATTGTTGGACAGTATACATTATCTCCAGTACTTCCTTGGAAGGGGCCTGCTTCTCTTTGTAAATAACGACACAAGTAAGGCCTTGTGTGCATTCTGCTCTGCCATTCTCACTCATATTCTCTCATTTAGTCCTCATGTGCTCTTAGCCTTCTCAAAGAGATTGTACTGACTCAAATTTTATATATGAAGAAATTGGTGTTCAAGCTAAGTGAGTTTCCCAAGGATATAGAACTCCAAAAGGATGGGGTCAAGATCGGAACCTGTGACTGCCAGACTTCAAGCTTGATGTTCCTTAATTAATCTTTTTGTGCCTCATTAACAAACTTATTCCATCTGTCACATAACAGTTCCTTAGGCATTTTAGGTAACTCATATGTAACTACTAAAGTTACATTTTTATATCTCAACATTTTTAGTTCTTTTGATACTCCTCATACAATATGCTTTTCAGACCTTTTATCAGCTTAGTCTTCTTTTTATGGACAATCTTCTGTTGGTCAAAGTGCTTTTAAAATGTGCTTTGTGTCAAAAGTGAATAAAAGTGGTTTGACTTCCCCAAAAGATAGATGAATTATGTCTTTTTTCCTCCTCTGAGACAAGGTCTCTTGTAGTTCAGGCCGGCCTTGATTTTGCTGTGTAGCAGAGAGTGACTGAGCTTCTGATTCTTCTGTCACTACTGCCTGAGTGCTAGGATGTACTACTACATCTGGTTTTATGTAGTACTGGAGAAGGACTCGAGGGCTTTCTTCATACTGGGCAAGCACTCGACCAACTCAGGTGCATCCCCAGTCAGCAATGGGTTATGTTTCTTGTGCATAAGCCACTTCCTTCTTTTTCTGTACCTTGTTTGGCAGCCACATTGACTACTGAATGTTCCCAAGCATATACTTAACTAAGAATCCTACATATGATAAGTTCTATCTGCATTCAACTCAAACTCATCACCTTTGAATGTGTGCCTGTTACATTTTGTCTCGTTATCCTTGACTCTGCATCCTATCATGCCAGATCCTCTTAGATCTGGTTTCTACTTTCCAGTACATTTGATTTTCCTCTCAGCCTGACTTCTGTGCTTTCATAAATCAACCGAAAAGTTCAGCAGGACAGGAACAAAAGCAAAGCCTTGCAGCAAAAATTCAGATGGCAATGAGTAATTTTTTAAAAGATGAATCCTCCCTCTGCAGTTCTAGCTGGCCTGGAACTCACTGTGTAGACAAGGCTGGCCTTGAATTCAGAGATTCCCTTTGATGGTTTTTTAGCGGTGCTCTTACCCTGCGAGGAAAAGTCACGAAACACGACAGAATCCACTAACAAGAGTTTTATCAAGACAAAGAGAAAGGGATAGATGTGATCGGGCCTGTGGAAGGACTTGTGTGAGAAAGAGGGTGGGGGGGACCACGGGGCCTGCCTTTTAAGGGCCAGCTTGCACCTGCACACACAGGCCCACATGGCTATTCCACTCATGCGCATAGATCATGTGGTCACGTCCGTGTGATTACATGACCATGTAGCTATGGGGCATGGGTTACACAGGACGTATGATCCGGAAATGACTAGATGGAGATGACTAAGTGTCCCACCAGGCATGCACAACCATGGGGGCATGGTTAGAATTCCTATCACCCTTTCGTCTGCCCCCCAAGTACTGGGATTAAAGGCAATGGATAACCATTTTACTAGAAAGAAATATGAATGATGCTTCAGATTCTCAGTTCTATCAGTCAGGGAAGCCTGCTACTGTTGAATGAATTTCAGTGAGACTTTTTTCACATTATCTAGAAATTCCTTCCTTCCTTGCCTACTCGCTTCCTTGCTTGCTTCCTTCCTCCCTTCTCTTTCTCCTCCTCCCCTTCCTTTTTTTTTTTGTTGAGGCAGGGAACCCTGGTTAACCTGAGACTCACAGCAATCCTCCTGCCTCAGACTCCCAGAGTACAGGGATCATAGGCATATGTCCCCCTACCTGGTCAAAATTTCTTTCTTGTTGGTTGAAGTTAAGTCAAAAGAGGATGCTCTCCTTCCCTCTTAACGTTCCCCTTTATTTTGAGCTTTTCTACTGCCTCTTCTAAGATTTAAATGATCACAATTAATAAGGTTTCAGGCCGTACTCTCAGTTGAATGAGAATTCCAACAGGTGTTTATCTTCCTGGTTGCTACATTATCTTTCTGGTTCAGTGTTTTTTGCATTACAAGACCATTGGCCATAACTTCTGTCTGGTCAGGCAGTCTGTAGCACATTGCAGCAAAGACAGAACTTCATTACTTTTTCTTTCCACTGATGCAGTTGTCTCCCCCACACATGTACACCTCACCTTAAACACATGTCTGTTAAATTTCCTTATTTGGGCATTTCCCTTTGCATGAGAAAGAGGTGTGCTTTCATCCAGTCTTACTGCTAACCGCAAAATCGTATATTTACCTTTATAAACTTAGGAATGGTAGGGAGGGAGATAGTTCAGCGGGTAAAGAGTGGGCCCCTGAGTTCAGTCCCCAGAACCTATGTAAATACATCTCAGCATGGTAGTACACCTGTAATCCCAGTGCTGGGGAGGTAGAAATGCATAGATCCCTAGGGCTTGCTGACCAGACAACCTAGCCTACAGGATTAGTTCCAAGCCAGTGAGACTCTACCTCAGAAAAAAAAAATAGATAGTGCCTGAGGAAGGACACTCAGGCTTATCTTCTGGTACACACACTCACTCACTCACACACACACACACACACACACACACACACACACTGATTTCATAATTAAAGAAAAATTGTAATACCAGCACAAAGAACACCCTGTACTTTTTACCCATATTTGCTTGCTGATATTTTTACTTTTTCATCTGTTACCATTATCTCTGTATTTGAAGAACCATTTGAGAATAATTTGCCTCCATCTCTTCTTTTCACCCCTAAATTCTTCAATGTAGATTTCCTATAAGGAAATGTCCTTTAAACTTGATTGTTTTTGTGTTTGACAATTTCATACATGTAAACAAGAATATTGTGATTGCTCTCTTCCTGACACCCTCTCTTATCTCACATTTCTATCAACCCCCCTCATCCTGATGAGGGCATTTCTCAGAATGATAACTTTTGATTTTGTTTTGTGATCCATTTAATTTAACCAGAACCATCTGTATGACCATTAGTTTGGAACTGGCCATCTAAGCCCTGTGGGGGCATTAGAGGGTATATACCTTAAGGCAGTGATTATCTCTCTCCCTGAATCCATCAGTATCAAATAGTGAAGGGT